CTTAGAAACAAGTTTCATTAAAACAGTAATGCTTTTCTAGTCTTAGAGACAATTTTAATTAAAATAGTAGTGCTTTTCTAGTCTTAGAGACAAGGTTAATTAAAATAGTAATGCTTTTCTGGTCTTAGAGACAAGGTTCATTAGAATAGTAGTGCCTTTTTAGAGTCTTAGAGACAAGTTTCATTAAAACAGTAATGTTTTTCTTGAGTCTTGCAGGAAGTTTCATTAAAACAAGTTTCGTTTGCATTTTTATTGAAAGTAATGATGTTGTAATGAACATAATCTTGAAATTAAACACATTAAAAATTTATATTCAGTGTAAAGAATGCTGTTTGTAATGATACATGTGAGGAATTTGGTGTAAAAATGGCAGTTTTAATATGGATTCAACAAACACGCGCTAAAGGTTTATACATACTTGCGAAAACACCGACAAACTTGTCTGTTTCTGTGTTTATCTTTCTGTCTAAAACAGAACTGCAGTAGAAGTAAAAATTATCTGTAATTTCGCCAAGTTTTTCTATTTTTCAGGTATAATTTTTTAGATGTCGCTTATTTATCAAGACTCTTGTACATAAGTCACCCATTTGTGTAACATAAAATTTCGTGTGTTAAAAGTGGGAGTTCACAGATAGGTGGTCAATAACTTGCTTGTATTTTCATCTATGTTATCAATTCAGATCGAGGTTTACACAGCAAGTTGCCAATAGAAACCACGATATCAACAAAACCTCACTTCAACACTGTGCAATTATTATTCGCGTGCCTCATTAGGCTATTATACCGAGAACATTCTAGTACAGAAGTTTCACGAATCATTAGCTGCCGAATAGAATAATTTGGTCTTTGATGGTAAGAGCGAAGTTTGTCTGTTTCGGATATTCCTGGAAAGGTACGCAAGGGACATCTCCAATAACTGTCCCTAATTTTGAATAAACGGACTAGAGGGAAGGCAACTAATCAATAACATCCACCGCAAACTCTTGAACAAATCCAATCGAAAAGAGGGATGGGATTTAAACTTCACTCTTATAACGCATCAACAGCCCAATACTTGAACCACGAGATCACTAGTCCATGAAAAGAAACGAAAGAAAAATGTGCAGGGTGTATGATGAAGAAAGTTTAATGGGGGTGGTTGGCTGATGTGCTTACTCGTGTAATAAAAACACAACAAGAAAAGTGGAAACTTCTATAAAATTCAAATAATTTAAGTTTATATTTTCTCTTTCCTGTATAAAAATAAAAGTTACTTTTATGGAAAATAACCGTGAAAATTGTAACTCGCCTCCTTTCTATAGCCCTTCAGTGGCACAGCAGGATGTCTGCGGACTTACAACGCTAGAAACCGGGTATCGATACCCGTCGTGGGCAGAGCACAGATAGCCCATTGTTTAGCTTTGTGCTTAATTACAAACAACATCAACAACAAACATAGAATGAAATGTGACTTTAAGAAAACCCATAATCTGACGATCCACGTCAGGCTAACGCGACATACAAACATAAAATGAAATGTGACTTTAAGAAAACCCATAAGACCCACGTCAGGCTAACGTGACATACAAACATAAAATGAAATGTGACTTTAAGAAAACCCATAAGACCCGCGTCAGGCTAACGCGACATACAAACATAAAATGAAATGTGACTTTAAGAAAACCCATAAGACCCACGTCAGGCTAACGTGACATACAAGTAAACATTATAGAAGCAAATGTGAATAAAAACAGAAATGTGTAGCTTTGTGCTTAATTTCAAACAAACAAGCAAACAAAAATATTTTCTCTTCTACAACAATGAATATTGCCTGAACACAGTCACTGTTCTCTGTTACAACAATGAATAATACTTGAACACAGTCACTGTTCTTTGTTACAACAATGAATAATACTTGAACACAGTCACTGTTCTCTGTTACAACAATGAATATTGCCTGAACTCAGTCACTGTTCTCTGTTACAACAATGAATAATACCTGAACTCGGTCACTGTTCTCTGTTACAACAATGAATAATACCTGAACTCGGT